AAACCTTACAACTTCAGTGTTCATACAAACAGCTGGAGTATGTTACCTAGAGATTATATTGTTTAACCTAGTATTTTAACTATATGTAAATGTAGGTTTATATTAATTAGCTCTTTAAATGATGAATTGATTATACAAGTCTGTTTCCGTAGGTAACAACATTAAGATACTAGAAAATTTTCATTAGATGTGTTAGTATTGCTGGATTCGAGCACACTTTATTGAGTAGTGATTTCTAGCTTTTAAAAACCCCACAAATGTCTTCAGAGAGATCATTTCAGCATTTTACTGTCCTATATATGCATCTTTATAGCCAGTGACAGGTTAGGCAGCCAGTTAGGATGTGGACATCCAACCACTTTCATAGGTCTGGCTCCTAGCACACATGCTATTCCAGGCCGTTAGCTTGCGGAATAAAGTATTTAACAGTGACTTTTTCCCCCCAGTATCCTAGAAGTATGCATTACCTTTTCTCAGTACCCTTTTATTGCTCTTTGTACAATTTCTGGCCCTTATTGCTTGTTATGCAAAAGCTGGCCTCCATTATATTTATTATATAATTTATTATCTCATTATATAGTTATGAAATAATATCAAATACTTTGAAGTCATTACTATTCTTTCATTTAACAATTTGGTTTTGGATACTACAAATAGGTTTATTTGATAGTTTTATACATTCGGATAGCAGCTGCTTTCTCTGTTATATCTTAATAGCACTCCAGTTTACATTTTCCTTTTACATATCAAGGAATCATAACCTTTACTTCTGTGATCTTATAAAGCTTGCAGTGTTTTATCTGTAAGACTTAATTTGGCCAATATGTGTACAAGTTGTAAAGTACTATTTCTTACCTAACATCTTTTGTTTGTAAACAAATTCTGATTTTAAAGCAACTCATGCATTATTCATAACTTCTAAAGTGCTAATGAACTTTTAGTAGTTTTGCTGAATGTGTATACAGTTGATTGGGGTTTTTTTCTGAACACTAAGACAGAACTTATTGTCTTATGTCAAGAGCTCTTGGAGCATTATTTTCAACCTTTTGGTTCAGCAGAGAACCTTTTTCTCATTTAGAAATACCCAACCTTTTATTTGGCCGGAGCAAGGGTATTTCGTAAAATGCTTTGTTTTCTTGCCATAAAAACTCTAGGAAGCCCTGTTACGAAAGAAATGCTGTCAAGTGGCTTTCCTCCTGCCTTTATCACTGATGTTCAATAACCATTCAAAACTTACAGGGTCAGGTAAGAGCTTTCTTCATAGAGCAGTGACATTATTTCTGGTTAGCCTCCGAAATGTTATATTTGCTGAGAGCTCCAATGCATTTTTCATTTGATTTTTTTGTTTGTTTTTTTGTTTTGTGGTTCTATCATCTTTTACAGAAGAGAATTTTCTTTTTTAATTTTAGTTTAGCCAACTAAGTCTGCTAATGGATATCCACTGAGCAGTTATTCAGAAATGTTTGCTAATGTGTTTTGCTTTAGGAAAATATCCAAAATAATTGGATTGAGAATGCAGCATGCAGAGTATTTTTCCAATAGTAATATTTGGAAAATTGTACATGTGAATGGTGCTGTACGCTCATTGTTGCTATATGTGTGTGTTGTAAGCTACAACAGCTTAAGTGAGTATTTCAACACAGCAAAATAAGTATTTGAAGACAGAAGAAGAATGAGCAGCTCTTGAGTACTTTGGCATAGTATCTTGAAGCTTCAAAATTACTTGATTTGCTTGTTAATTAAGTTTATTTCTTTTTTATATTTTAACTATTTATTGATTCTGCAAAGACTTGTGCATGTGATTAACGTTAAGTGGAAGTGTTCAGGCTGCTAAAACTAGAGAGGTTCTTCATTCCTTGCAAGATTCAGATCTCTGGTTCCTTACAGTTTATATTCTTGAGAAATACTTAATTTTTTTTTCTGTAATGCAAAACGTATTTCTGATCATCCTTGAAGGGGTTTTGTTAGCTTTTCCTAATAGGATATTTTAAGTGGGAAATCTTCAACCTTTATTGTGGAGTCAGAGCAAAGGAAAAATGTTGTAATGAATGAGGGGAAATGAATAGCAAGCTCTAATAAAAGATTTCATAAACACTGCCAACAATAGATACACCACTATATTCACCAACTTTACTGCTATGTCACTCTTCAGTAAAAAAATAGAAAATACCTTTCAGTTTGCTATAAGGGTTCCAGAGGGAATATATGAAAGTGTCTTGATTGCTCTAATTCTTAGTGCTGCAGCTGGTGAAATGGTTTGAACCATCTTGCTTGCAACACCATGAATGCCATCAGTGTTTGGATGTTAAGGACCTGATTTATTTTAAATAAGGTCTTAGGCAGACACATTCATTTGCTTACATGAACTACTGCATTGGTAAGGACTGTAAGCTCACTTTCTAGAAATAGTATCAAGAAGGAGCTTTTTTTATGATCTCTTCTTAAAAAATTACCAATAGTGAAGAGCTGACCTAAAACCTCAGGCTGGTTTTCATGCTTAACCTGTCTTCATTGCTTGTTTATAATTATGTACATTTGTCTGTCTTTGTCTGTCTCTGTCATTCACTGTGTACATTCATACTTGTTTCTGCAGTAAGTTTGTGATTACCTAGGAATTAAAATTATCAATTTGTTTTTTGTTTCTCTGGGTCAAAAATATACCTGTCTGGTTGGTGATTCTTTAATTATCTTTTTAATATGCCATACAGTTGCCTGTAGAGAATGAAAATCCAAAGAACTAGAAATATGACAAAAATTAAAATAGTGACATCTGTGTTACATAAGTTCTGAAGTCAAATATGTTTGTGAAGTCAGAAATAGTCTCTAGGAAGTTCATGTTTATGACTACTGCTGTGAATCATCTGCTGTACTACAAACATCTCGTGTAAATGTTTTACTTTGAATCACTTCTGCTACCTGAACAGAATTTGATATTACTTGTTAAGCCTTGTAAGATATTAAAATGCCTAATTTGCTTTGGTTTTTTTTAATTTGCATTGTAGGTTTTGACTTTTGCCTATAAGCATGCATTGGTAAATAAGATGTATGGAAGGGGTCTCAAGTTTGCCACAAAACTTGCAGAAGAAAAGCCAACAAAGGACAACTTAAAAAACTGCATTCAGGTAAGGAGTGTTTGGTCAAGTAATGGGGCTGCTGCATAAGCTTTCAGGAGTAAAATACAAGTCTCCTGCAATTTTTTGTACTCTTCTCATTGTAGAAAGCACTAAATGTAGCATTTTAACTTTATCCAGGTTTTGTAACTCGGCCTTCATTTTAAACAGTGATTTTTTTTTTCCTTCCTTTTCTAGAGTAACTTGTTTGGGAGTAACTTGTTTTTAGCAGATTTACTCTTTGGAACTTGCTTTGGGGCATAAAGGAAGTAGAGACAACTTAGTCAAAGATATCTGCATGAAAATTCCCTTCTGTTACTGTTTAATCACTGTTATTTTTTACTATTATTAATCATAATTACTAGGAAATTATTAGGAATTAATGAGAATTCCTAAGATTAAATTCTTGTGCATTACGTTGAAAAAAATGTGGATCATACAGAAAGGGAAGGAGGGGTCCCCCTTTAAGGACTGAGGAATTCAAAGCTTACCAGATCTCCCATCTGTTGTCTTTCTGATAATAGACATTTTTAGTAAAATTTTTATATCAGTGCAGTGTTTTTTTAGATTTAGATGTTAAAAACAGTAAGACTCATTTTTTTTTTTTTAATGTGTGCTTTTTTTCTTCAGCTAATGAAGCTGCTTGGATGGACTCATTGTGCAACTTTCACTGCAAATTGGCTTCCTGTCATGTATCCACCTGATTATTGTGTATTCTAGAGAATCAACAATTGTAAAATTAAGATGATTTTATATGGGACAGGATAGGAAAAGAGAAGTTTGACTTTTTATTTGAACGCATGTTTTCATTACTGAATGCTGATTATTAAATTGTGTGTATTTATCAGTAAAGGCACCTGGGTATGGCTTAATACCTGTTAATCTAACTCCTGTCATCAGGGAGTTTCCTTATTGTGCATCCCATTGCTGGCAATGGATGTGCCAGAACTGCCAACATAAAGGATTTGGAATTAGTTTGGAAAGAATTACTGCATGCATGTTATGTTCTGAATTGTTACTTTTAATTGCAAACCTGTAAAAGTTCTGTATTTTTTATGGTACACTGAATTTTAACATGTTTGATTTTAATTTCAATTGTATGAAGGCCTTAAAGCTACTTCAAGAGTAGCTAAAATCTTACTTATGAGATGAAAATAATGGACACCTGTATTGTTTGCAAGAGTTTACATTTAATGTTTTTAAGAAAAATTCAACCTCTCAAACTGTTACAGTGTTTCTCAGAATTGCTGATGCATAGGTACTCTTGTAAATTTTCAAAACTCTTCATTTTGCAATGATTTCAGGCAAGCTCAGAAATCCTGGTGAAGCTGAGTATCAGGATAGGCTGATATATGTATAAAAGTGCCAGACAGTTACATCTTGATCAGATATTGTAAAGCTATACATAGATGTTTATTAATGTTAAAAATATAAAACACAGCAGAATAAATGTGCAAAGTTGAAGATCAAAAAACCACCATGTTCACTCTGATACTTTAAAGGATTTTTATAATGAATAAAAATACTGAAGCTAAAAATTGTATTGGTTTCTGGATGAGTACCTAAATAAAACTTGGTTAAAGAAAGCAGCTTACAAACAGCAGAGGTTCAGTGCAGGCCAGAAGATCAATGCTTTTTGTTAAACAAATGTTCTTACTAACATTGTTCCTTCAGTGGAGGGGAGTTGGTCAGTTTGAACAGAGCATATGTACCAACCAGAGACAAACTGCTATATCTTTTGTCTTGCTGGTTTTTTTACACTTGCAATGCAAAACTTAGATGCAACTGCAACTTTACAACCATAAATGCACAGAAGGTGCAACATAATCTTGGAAGGCATTCCAATCTGTGAGGTGCTGCCACTAAATCAAGATCAGTAATAGTTTTCTCTTAATTCTTTCTTACTGTGGCTTTAAGCAGCTTGACATTTGATTCTGGAAATTCTGCTAGAATGGTTGTGTTAAATATATTGCAAACTTTTTCCAAAAATTCATAGTCTGTACTGAATCTGAATTTATTTGCCCATAGTAATACTGTTCCTGGCTTACAAAAGTGCACCATTGTAGCTAGCAGGGGGTCCAGAGCTCCATGGTGGTACACAACATCAGTTGCCAGTATGAAATCATAATGGTAAGTTGATACAGGAAAGTCTTCATTGAGGCCTTCTCCCCATACCAGTTTTCTCACTTCAGGTTTGTGCATATTCAAGTTCTGTGTATTTCTTGAAATATTGTATGAAAGATTTTCAAGAACTTCAGGCAAATCAGTAGCTGTAACATGAGCTCCTAAAGAAAACATGAGTTTGTTTCAATTCACAGAATCACTAAGGTTGGAAGAGATGTTAAAGATCATCTGTCCAGCCATGAATCCAGCAGTACCATTAAACCCTATCCCCAAGTCTCACATCCAGATGCCTCTTGGATGCTTCCAGAGACAATGACGCCACCACCTCCCTGGTCAGCTTATTCCAAGGATGCCTAACCACCCTTTCCATAAAATAAAAATTTTTTCTAATATCAAATCTGAACTCCCCTGGCGCAACTTAGGGCTATTTCCTCTCAGCCTTTCACTTGAGACAGGGCAAAATTCATAGATATGTAGTTGAACATGTATAAAGCTTTATCTACATAACTGGTCTGGCCTCCCCCTCCCCAGTAACTAGGGTAGTTTAGTTAACAAAACAGTATTTTACAATAATTTTCATTTAAAAACAGAAACAAACAGTGACAAAGTTTGCTTCAACTGTTTGTTTCATTGCCTTAAAGTGACAATGGCAGAGCTAGATCATCGTTCACTAGAAATCCAAAAGGAAACACTAAGTTACCAACCTAAGATACAGGCCACAATGGAAAGCAAGCCTGTTCCAGCACCGATTTCCAAAACTTTTTTGTCTTTGAGGTTGAATTGTTCTTGATTTGATTCCAGATACTGAGATAAAGCCAGTGCCTAAAACGGTTAACACATATTCATAAGTGGGTAACAGCTCAGTTGCACAAAAATTCATTAGATGTTTTTATACAAGGATGTTGGTTTTTTTTAGTATAATGAGAAACACTGAAGGGTGTAACAAAAATGTAAGATGGGAAGAATTGTAATGTATCCTGGTTTTTTTATATAAAAGAAAAGCAAATTATTTTTAATTTTAAGTTTATGTGATATGGATTTACTACACACTTCTGCATGAGTCCTCTGACAGCTCAAGACAGATTCACAGAATAAGCTGAGTTGGAAGGGACCCACAAGGCTAGGCAGTTTTAAGATGTGAACCATACAGTCAGAACAGCAGAGCTTAATAATATGTAGGAAGTAATGTTCTGGTTTGTTATCATAAATGTTATGCTATACTACCACTATCATAAAGTAAATTTAGACTTCAGCTAAGATTTTTGAAAAACCTTTTTTTTTTGTTTCAATTTTTTCAGCAAAGAAAGTATTAAAAATTGATTCTTTACAAACTTGACACTTGTTTATTGATAACAGTATAACCTTTGGAAAAAACAAAACAGCACTCTATGAAAATATTATCAGGCCTTTGTAAAGATTTTGTCTGTTAGAGAATATAAGTGGGCTGTTTATTAGCAACATAAACTGATGCCAAAGAAACTGTCTTCCCCCTTTTGCTTCTCTTCTTTAGAATTGTTTTACTGTTTTAACTTTTGTGCTTTTCATAATGCAACACTGTCTACCTGCTCTGGGAAAGCTGACAGCTAATGAATCACCGGTCCAATTTGTGCAACCTCTCAATTTTCTTGGAGAGTTTTACCATCTGCATTCTGACACTTGATTAATGTGCGAATTGATGATCTGACATTTCAAAATAAGATACTGTTTCACCCACCCATATGCTCTTTCTCTATTGTTTTGAAATTGTCTGCCATTTTCTTGTGAGCTTTTTAAATAAATGTGGATCTGAAAAATTTTGAAATTCTAGTTTTCTTGTCTTTATCAGTTGACCCTCTCTTCCTTCAAAGGCAGTTTTCTTAGTTTACGTCAAATTCTGTTTTTAAGAGCAGGAGAAGTAGACACTGAAGTACTGCTTGCAAGTATAATTTTCCATGCTGTAAAGAAACTGTTCCGGCCTTTTTCTTTAAAAGAGGCATATTTAATCATTATAGCATCCTATATTTTTTCAATCTCTCACAGTTTTCTTTTTCAGCCTCCTTTTTATACTGTTCATTATTTGCTTCCCAGCAGTGACTGATTGGAAGCATGGAGGAAGCTGAATGTTTCTTTCTGAGTTGCATTACTGAATTTTTTTTTTTAAATCCCTACATCCAATGTACAAATGCTTTGGTGCCATGGGCCTTTTGGCATGAACTGGCAAATTACCCTAAGGCAGAGCTTTCTGCTGAAGGACTTCATTCTGCATAGGGAAACTTCCATTGTCAGAAGTGTCGTCTAAGAAAGCTTCCTTAATATTTGTGTGCTGCTATCCTGGTTTGCTCTTGTGTCACGTGAGCTTTCTACATGTGGTCTTGTGCACTTACCCCCGGCCATACCACAGCTCCAAAGTGTTCTATGGACTCTTGAATGACAATCTGGTGGCCAACGTATGTATAGTGCTCCTTATCAAAGTAGTGTGAAACTCTAGGAACCCAGTTCTGCAGTATTTTAAGAGTTACTGGTGAGCCTGTGAGAGAAAAGTTGAAATTTCATGGGTTTAGTGCAAGTTGTTAAAGGGTAAAAAGTATTTTACAAAAACAGTATGTGGGCACACGGACTAGAAAAGCTCTCAGGACATTGGTCTTGAATCGTAGAATTTTGTTAAAGTTGGGAAAGATCTGGAAGATCATCAAATCCAACCATTAACCAATCCAGCACTATGTTCATCACTAAAGCATGTCTCCAAATGCCACATCTAGACATGTTTTGAACACTTCTGTGGGTGGTGATTTTACCACTTCCCTGAGCAACCTGTTCCAATGCCTGACCACCCCTTCAGTGAAGACTAGCTGCTGTCCAAAACTTGACAGTCTGGGTGGCCAGAGAGTGAAAGGAACAAAGGTCATTTCCTGCCATTCTAGGTATTCACATGAGCCATTTAGAGATAAAAATGAGCCTTTTAGGAAAAGCTACTAATTCAAATATAAAAGTCTGCTAATAACCGCTAGAAGGCTTTCAGGACCAAGTTAGCTTGTATTTTGGTGTTTGTGCTATAAATTTCAATTCTGAAGCCGGCAGCTCTAGAACAGCAAGCTGCTTTTTACATAAGGACTTAGGATTTGCATCCTACATTGAAGAAAACCTAACTCTTTCTTAGTGGTTCTTCCTTCCACAGAAGGAGGGTTGCAAGATGCATTTTATGTTGGCATACACAATGTAGGTGAGCAAGTCAGTGGTACTGTTATCCTAGGGTGTCTCATCATTTCAGATCTGTGCTGAGGCTGTTGCATCTGATCTCACTGAAAAGAAGGACACTATTCTGAATGACTGAACTTTTGTTGAAAGGGTATGCATAGAATTAATTGCAAGGGAAACCTTTGTTCTGGCTTGCAGGGATTTTAAGTGATCCTTAGTAGCTGTTGGAGTAGTTTAGCCTGTTGAAATCTGTAATACCAATTGTGTTCAACAATGCCAGCCTAATCAGTGCATATTATAACCATACCTCTTTTGTAAGAGATTGTAATTGAGAAATGATTCTTAGATGTCTAAGTAAAATCGAGACCTTTTTAAACATATTTCTTAATTATGGAGATGGAGAGGTATCTTTTGTAGATTTGATCTGATAATATATGCAAACGTAAGGGGAAATAATAGGGAAAATTGGATATCAAAGGAAAAGTTACATGATGACATCTACTATTTGAAGACTGACAAAAATCAAAGTATGATATGCTAGCATGCCATAGCAATTGCAGTATTTAAGTTGAATTAAACCTGCATCAGATTCTGTGTGCTCAGAGCTGCAAGTGCAGTTTTCAGAGTCATACTGCTCTTCACAGGTTTCTTCTTCCTCGGATTGGCAGTCCATTGTTCTTTGAATTTTGTTGGGGAATGGTGGCTGCTGTGCAGAGATCATGGCAAAAGAGCTGAAACAGAAGGGGAAAAATAATGTTATAAAGTCTTGCAGGCACTCTTTTCATATGAAATTTGACTGGAAAAAAGACAGTGAGTAGTAATTTAAGTAGCCTTCTGTGGCCTTTTGGGGTTTTTTTTCAGTGACGGATTGAAGAAATGGGATGAGATGTGACATCTCCACTCCACTGGGTGGTACAGGCTGTTTCTGGAAATGTAGTAATGCTGTCAGAATTTTTATTCTCTCATTTATCATTTTTATTGTGTTTATCATTTATGCAGAAGCTTAGCATTATGTCACTGAATTGATACCACTAGTCATCATGAAAACTGAGCTACTCTTAAGTTGAAGCAATAGCTGAGAAAGATAACTGTCTTTTCATATCTGTGAGTTTTTATATGTGTGATTTACTCTTTTCAAAAAACTTGGGACTTATGATTCCAGAGATAAAACTCTTTCATTTGCTGCAGTCAGTGCTCTTGATTTTGTCTCCTTGCACAGAGTTGCCTTCTCTTTCTTGTCTTTTTCTGCAGAACAGCTAACTCACACTGAAATGCAGTGAACTGCAGAATATGCAGATGGCAGTCAGGAAATCATTGCAGTGAAAAGATTGAATCCATAAGCCTTTTTGGATAAGTCTCTCTGTGCATCCACAGTGTACAGGGCAGCACCCAATCTAAGAAAGAACTGATTGATACCAGCTGACATCAATAAAAGCAGGAACAGGACTTGATATAAATTTGCTTGGAGAGACATATGTCAGTGAAATTCTTTGCTTGACTAGAGTTGTCTTCAGTGAAACACCTATTTATATGCATATATCTGTCAGTGTGTGGAAATGAAAGATATAGATGAGGTAGATAGATATAGAGATATAGATGTATAGATACAGATAGACACATCTATCTGTAAAGAGCAAAATGTTGATAATTCATGCTCTGACCAGAGGCTGTACAAGTTCACCTTTCCCACACAACATGATTCCTGGAGCGAGCTGTGTTTTTATCAATGATAAAAACATTTATCCATTCTGCTTATTTTTGAGACTGCATATTTGCTCTCTCCAGCCACAGGTACTGCAGAGTGCAACACTGCAAAGTGTTGTATCATTTGGGTTGCATCACTGCAGGAGGCTGTTTTAGATATTCTCACTGGAAGGGGTAAATCTTTGGCAGTGGCCAGGATGTTTAGCAATGTGTGCAGGTAGTTTTTTAAGGAGCAGTGTGACTGCTGACTTATGTGAGTGATTTGATTTGCACATGATATTGACACCATTGCAATTCTGCTGAAACCTGATATATTCCTTATTGCTGCTCTGTTTATTCACAAGGACTGAATTTCTGTTCTAATTCCTCTGACACTGCATTTGCTCCATCTTGGCAGTCATTTTGAACTGGTACAGAAGAGAGTGCTTTAAAGTGCTTTAAATCGATTCCTGCACCTTTTTTTTCTCTTCAGAAGGCCTCCATCTGGCTAGTAACAAGATCTGGCTTTCCTCCATGGTGTGTGATTTGAGGTACAACAATGGTAGTTAAGAGACTGAAGTTAATGGTGCAGTCACTGCATTCCCTGACACGAGTGCATCCCTGTTCACATTCCACATGTCAGAGTGTTCCTCCTTCCAACAGCAAGGGGTTTTTTCCCGTTTAATCAAAAGTAAGCTTCTGAATTTGAACAATGTCTCCTTTTCATGCCTTAAGCTAGACTAAAATCTGCTCATGTTTTAGGAAATCTCTGTGAAAAATATTTTCAGACTTGTGCAATTGGGAAGGTACATAATGAAAAGAGAAGACTGTCAGATTTGGTGACAGCTACAGCCAGAAAACTATTGGTTGAAGACACAGGCTTCTGAACATTTTATGTTGAAACCTGCAGAGCTCTACATTCTCACATCTGGGGGCTTTGGGGTGAGTATTTGTTTTGGTGGGGTTTTTTGTAAGGCTCTTGTAGCGTGATTTGTGCTATTTAAGTGAGAAAGCCAATTCTGAAATTAAAAGCAAGAGAAAACTTTACCTTGTCAAGTATTGTGCTATGTATAAAACCAGAAGGCTTGTTTAATTAGTAAACTGTCAGTTTGTCGGTTTGGGTGGAAAGTGATCCTGCCATATTTTTTTCCTTGCTTAAACAAGTCCTTACTACAACAGGCCAAAATTTCAGTTCACCGTGGTTGTCAATGAATTCCAGAAAATAGCTTGGAAACATGCTTAATAAATACAAATTTGTTGATCAACTATTAAGTACCTGCAGCAAATAAAATTGCATATCTGATCCTGATATATATGTAAACCCTATTATCGACGTTATGTTACATTTTCAAATTAAAAATTGCTACACTTTTCCTCACTTTATCTTTTGAGTTCCCCTAAAATGGGAGTCTTAATATTTATGGGAGTGCTTAAATATTTATAAAGAAACTTTGCTGGTTTTACTAAGTCCATTAAAATTATCAGGAAGCCTAACATCCACACCAGTGGTTACCCTGCTGCTGGTGTTGTCCCTAAGTCCATAAGTTGCCTGAGCTCCTAGGTGGTGATTTGGGGGGATAAACACTATGCACTCTATGTTTGTATGTTACCTGAGACACTGGGCTCTGGTTTTTGGCTGGAGCTTCTGGATGCTATAATAATATCTGGTAGAGGTGTAGCTTTTGCTAAACAGGAAAGGGGTTTATAAGTTTGTTTATATGTATATATATATATTCATGTTCATTCCACTGGCATAATTATTCAATTACATATTTCATAGGAGTTAAAAGCAAGTCTTTTTTTTAGCTGCAAACTACAGGACAGTTTTAGTCTTATATATTCAAGAATTCAAGTATATTAGTGTCTTAGCCTTAATGATGCACAGTTTTATTTATCATTTTTTAATAATTTTTCATTATTTATCCTGAAGGTTATAGGCACAATTGATATATTGAGAAGCTGTTTGTAAATAAGTGGTGTTTGAATTATTGCATTCTCTATGTGTAATATGCTCAAGTTACTGCTGTGCTCCTAGAATTACAAAAAATACCATTTCTCACTGGTTTGAAATTTTTCAGATCCATATTTTAGTAAAAATTATATATCTAGAAGAATTTTGGTTTGATAATGTTGCAAAATCTATTCTCTTAGAAAATGTTAGCTCTTTCTGAATGCTTGCAGCCAGATTTTTTCCAAATTAGTCTTGTTGGGAACTAATTATCTAAATTCTTTCAGAGTTTTTAAACCAGTATTGACTTCATAAATAGTCTTAAGCTGTTGTGAACAAAAAAATCACATTTGATTTCTTCAGAACCCAAAGGAGAAAGAATAATTCACAAAACTGTATCTATTTGACAATATTACAAAAAATTAAAAAGGTAACACTTAGGGGCAAATGGTAAGATTATTATAAACTTCAAGGCAACAGTTTATCCCCTGTAAGAATAAACTTTCTGCCTCTTGCACTGCTGAAATCGATTACTCAGAAAGAGTTTGTAATATCCAGTTACACAGCCAAAAAAGAGTAGGTTAGTGAGCAGTGCTGTGTCACTAGGTCTTCAGCTGTAAACACAACTCTGCTGAAATGTATTTCATCTCAGCACAGAGTTTCTCAGTATAGTCTGTGTTAGTTGAAATATTTGGGCAAAAGCCAATTTCATTTGCTCACATGGAAAATGCAGTTGCAGTCTGTTCTTTGCAAGATGGGGCTTAACCCTTGTACCATACATTAACATCTGTTTCCTGGAGCTCATGCAATTTTCTCATGTTACCATGCGCTACATTAAAAAAAAAAAAAAACAAAAAAACAAAAAAAACCCAAAACACCAACAATACAAATGCTAGGAAATAAAGGAAATATCAGTGTTAGGAACATGACTATAGTAAATCTATGTGATATTTGAATCTACAAGGTAAACGCGCCCAAACACCGCAAGCCAGCAGTGACCGTCACTCGGCAGGAAAGGGAGAGCTGGATTCTGTGGGATCACAGAGCTGACCTGAAACACAAGAATTCAGACAAAGGCATTTGTGTTGTTGGTTAGCAGGGAACACAAAGGCACGTCAGACGAGGTTAGCTGGGCAGCTGTGTGGGTACCTGATGTGACAGAAGGCATGGGAAGTTTCCTGTGGGTGGATGCACGCTCCAGAGGTTTTTTATACAGGCGCGCACCTGAAAAGAATAACTTTCCCCTCCAGCCAGTCAGATTGCAGGTTATTTAGAGTAACATTACCAGGCAGCGCTCGAAGAACTTACCATGTTACACTTAAGTCTTTCACATGTGCAGTACAAAATCAAAACTCTCTTAGACTTTGGAGTCCCAAACGTACAAACCTTTCTCGGCTCCTCCAGACTCTGGTTCCGTTTTTGCAGACGACGCGGTTTTGCAGCTCCCCTGTGTTCGCCTTACGTCAGCGGAGCTGAACCAAGCAAGCAACTTACTGTGGGCAAACTAGCGCATAAATAATGAGTGTGGTAACCTGGCAGCAGCCCAAGCACAGGGGAAAGTTCATGAAGCTCCCACCACCAGGAAAAGGTCAGGTCTTCCTTGCCCTGCTGAGCGTCTGGCTGGGGAAGCTCTGGGTACACTCCCTGCCCTGAGCCACAGACAGTATGGGGAAGTGTCAGTCCTAAGGAAAAAAGAGCTTTCTCATTGTCTTCACTGCGGGTCATTGCCATAGGAAATATTGTATCCACTGAAAGAGGATGAAAATAATGAAAATAATGAAAATCACACTTTTATCAGAAGATCTTCCAGCTGATTATTTTAAAACAGATGGATATCATAGATGTTGAGGATGAATGTTCTTCAACTGATGTTGAAGATGTGTAATCTGTTGTTACAGATGTGTATTCCTCACACATTTTAAGAATTTGAGAGGTTTATATGCATTTATTCCTTTGCTGCCCTTCTGCTGTCCCTTCTCCTTCTTTGCAAAGATTCCGCCAAAAGAAATTCAATCCCATTAGAGGACAGAAAAATCTAAAAACTACTTTGAAAGTCATAAACTAGAAAATAACTCCTGACTAATTAATGA